CCTCGCCCGTTCTCGTCTGGCCTCGGCAGGTTTGCGCAGGCCGCGCTGCTCGCCCCCTCGGCGTCCGGCCGCCCGCTCGCTCCTCCCGCCGCGCCCGGGTCTCCTCCACCGCCGTGAGTTGGCGCGCTGCCCCCGGACGTCCTCCGGCGGAACGGTGCGGACGGCGCAGGTGTATTTCCTGACTTAACGCCCTTTGCGGTTGAGAGTTGAGGAGACTGGAGAACACATCTGAAAATTCCTGCTCTCCGTGTTACCGCGGATGAGTTAAGCACTGAAGTGGGTGTGGAATTGGTGCTCTTGCTCCCCGGTTCCTAGCGACTGGGTGGCTCGAGGTATGCGGAGAGTAGCTTCGCGTGTGCAGGTTTTTGTCGCTACCCCGTAAGAAATTAGCACAGCCAGCACTTAAAGCAGCACCGGCTGATTATCTCACAGCTTCTGTCGGCTGCAAGCCGGCGTGAGTTTAGCTGGTACCCTGCACGGAGTCTCCCAGAGCTGAGCACGGTTTCTGCAGGTCTGGGCTCTTTGGGCTCTGGGGGCCGGAATCCTCTTGGCTCGGCTCTCCCTCGGCTTGCGGGCGGGCTTCGCGGTTACTGTCAGCCCTGGGCACGTCAGCCCTGGCTTTCAGCGAAGGCCCCTGCATCTTCACAATCGGCAAGCCTCTCTTCTCCCAAGGGCTCACGTGATTAGACGGGGTCCAGCGGGACGACATCCTTCCAAGTGTGTGTGGATGGAATCACAGGAGTAGGGGTCATATGTTACAACGCCAACGGGTGGGATGAGGGCCATTCTTAGAAACTATGCCTGCCGTAATATGGTTGTTCCAAGCTGGATTTTTTTTTAAAAAAATATTAACTCTATTAGCACATGTTTGCAGTACCTGCAGTTTACAGTCATCTTGGGGAGTGGGTAAATGTAAATACTACAGCAAAAAAAATTCCCTCCCCTCCCCCTCCCTCCGTCTCTAACTCAGTATCCCGATTTTCATTCTTGTTGATAATTTAGTTAATGTAACGGCATATAGTGTTTATGTTCATTGAGGGTATTAGGTCTGTACGCAGTTCATCGTTGTTCTACTTATTTCCCCTTCCCTGCCTCCTCACACCTCCTTGGCCCACTTCCCTGTTGTGAAAGAGATCCATCCCCTTGTCTCTTTCTGTCCATCCTTTATTATTCTCTTCGTTCGTGCTTTACCTCAAATGAGAGATACCATATGGTATTTAAATCAAGCTGGATTATTTTTGTAGTGTGCTTTTTCAGAAATTTACGAAGTTGTTTTGATACTAATTATATGACTGTTCTTAGATAAGCAAATTCAGTTAGTTGCCTATGGCCATACGGCTAGGAAGTGACTGAGTCTGCGTTTGGACTCATCTATATTTCCATTAGGTCCGAAGCCATAGTTATGGATGTTCACGGTGGACTGCATCCAGTGTCATTAGCTAGGAGAAGCTAAGGGATGGTGAGGTAGTTGTTGCACGTTCATTTTTGAATTGTCTATATTAGTGGTATAGGGCCAGGTGTGGTGGCACACCCCTGTAATCCCAGCGCTCAGGAGGCTGAGGCAGGAGGAGTGTTGTGGAGACCAGCCTGGGTTACAAAGTGAGCTCAAGGCCAGCCTGAACTGCACAGCAAGACCCTATCTCAAAAAGACAAAAAAATAAATAAATAAATAAATAAAATATATATATATATATATATATGTAAGTGGTATAGGCTCAATTCTTCATAACAAAGAAAGCTCAATATAGAGTTGCATGAATAAAATAAAAATGATGGGATTTTGGGTTTGTGGAGGGTTTGGTTTTTTGGTTGGTTGGTTTTTTTCTGTTTTTTAGGCTGACCTTGAATTCCTGGACTCAAGCAATGCTCCTGTCTCAGCCTCCCAAGTAGCTGGGATGACAGGTGTGCACCAGTGTACCCAGCATGTTGTTTTTTGGTTTTAAATATATCGAGTCCAGAATAGTGGGGTGATTCTAAACTTAAACAAACGGCCTCTATAAATAGGTCTTGGGTACTGTTCCACTTGACATTCCTGGGCCTTAGCAAGGAGGAGGGGAGGTGGAGGAGGAGGAGGGGGAGGGCATGTGCAGCCCCTTCTAGCTGCACAACGAGGAGTCATCCCTGCGGCACAAGGCCGGCTGGGCTCTGCAGAGTTAGGAAGAACAGAGCTGGTGGTAGGGTGCCCTGCTAACACGCTGGGTTCTGTTAAGAAAGGGAGAAAGTTGTTAGCTAAAAACCATCTCTTCCATGCCTTTGTTTTTGATTCTGTTCAGTTTTGTAAACTATGAATAGAATATTTAAAAAGAAATGTCTGTAAGACCAAGAAATTTCTTATTCAATATTAACATTATTTTCTGTTATTTTAATGTGCAGTTTAATTTATAAATGCTTTTTGAGAAATCTTTTTTTATTTAGCACTCCTATACCTTCTTCATATTTTGGGTTAGTTTGATTTCTTTAGTGAAAATACATGTATCCGGGTTTACTAGAGAAACAGATATAACACAAGATATAGAAGTGTATAAGAAATGACAAGTTTGGCTTCCAGTGGTCAGCCACAGGGTTGGGTGAGGAAGCGTGCAGAGGGTGTCTGCACACTGGAGACTGAAGAGCCCAGTCCAAGGTCTGGAGCTCACTGCAGTGTTTTGTGCAAGTCCGCATCAGGAGGCCAGGGGGTCTGCAGCAGAATGTTGAAGAATCTACAAGGAGGGCCAAAGAGTCTATACCGGAAGGCTGAGGAGTCCCAGGCAGAAGCCAGACGGTCTGCGTCAGAAGTTAGGAGATGACCACCAGGCTGAAGGCGAAGACTGGAGCTCCTCAGAAGACCAGAAATCAGTCCTTCCTCATTTCCCTTTTATTGTGTGCAGCCCACCTGCCCTAGGGGGAGTGGTCCTCTACACCCTCACTGTTTCTGTGCCCTCCTCTTGTACAGGCTCAGGGTGAATACAAAGGAAGGACCCTGGCTCCCTGCTGAGTCACACAGTTAACCTAAACTTCTCGAGTTGACACAAAGAACAGCATTGTAGAGTGATAAGGGCATGTCCTTTTCACCCCAGGATGAAGAACTGCTGAGTTATTTAGTTAAGGTTCTAGACTCCTCAAGTAGACACAATGTATCAACATTTACAATACATGAATGGGACATACATTTGCCTCAGGGTACTTGAAATGAAAGCATTCTGTGTAGATCCATCTGCACACTTACATGTTCTGTAATCTGTCATTGTCCAGTTGTACAACTCTTCCATCCTTCTTCATTTGGTCTTCTGAGTCCTCCTCAGACCATAATCCCTTTCTACACATCACATCCTACTTCTTGTCAAGTCTGGCAGTTTCCCTCGCACTTGCCCCATTGCCTTTTTGTTCAGGGGGAGATTAGAGTTTTGACTGATGGTTTGAGTTCTCCTGAGTTCTGGGTATTACCTCTTTTTGTGTGTGTGTGTGTCTTTTTGAGATAGGGTCTCGCTATGCAGTCCAGGCTGGTTTTGAGCTCACTTGGTAGCCCAGGCTGGCCTCAAACTCACAACAGTCCTCCTGCCTCAGCCTCCCGAGTGCTGGGATTACAGGCGTGTGCCACCACGCCCAGCCTGGATATTACCTCTTAAGCAAATCATAACACTTGAGTTTTGTTTCCTTTACATGTGAAATGGTACAGGGTGTCACCTCAGAGAGGATAATGGACTTTTGGAGGTAATGCATGTTTTCTGTAACACACTGCAGTGCTTGCACGTGGTAGGTACTCAGTAAGCAGTGACTGTACTGATTTCAATGATAACTCTGACTTGTAGCACTTGGAGTCTACATTTCTTTTTTTGAATTTGACTCTTTGTTTTATTGATGAGTTTATAAATTGTGTAAGACCGGGGACCAAGTCCTGGCTAGTGGGTGATCCCTAAATGCTGACTTAGTGAGTTGAACCTAGCATATGTAAGAACATACTTGAGTTTGAGGTTGCAAGGGCTCTCTCTGTCTTCTTTCTTTTTCCTATTGTGATAGTACCATGGAAAATCAACTGGCTAAATCAACTGAGGAGCGAACATTTCAGTACCAGGATTCTCTTCCATCACTGCCTGTTCCCTCACTTGAAGAATCATTAAAAAAATACCTTGAGTCAGGTATGTTCATAATTTTCAATACATGTTCATGTTGTTAGTACTTAGCAAACTATGACGCTGTTGAAAGTTGATGAAGGTCTAATTGCTACTGCTTCTAGGCTCACGATAAAGTACCCTAAAATACCGGGAACCTTTTGTTCTTCCTTCTCATGTTACTTCTTCCACAGTTTGAAAAGCCAGGTAGTATTAATGGGTCTCCCAGGCAAAGTGAGGCCCATCTCCTGGCTCCCTGCTGCTCTCCACTCCTACTCCTGAGGCAAGGACCTTCAGACTGTTTCTTACATCATCTCTCTCCACGTTTAAAGTAAGAGTCTTATCCTGTGCTCTTCAGGTCTTTTAGCTGTAGGTACTGTAAATTAATTCCTTGAAAAAGATACGGGTTTAGCTCTCCTAAGTGCACTAGCCCCCCTGTCCCTGGCATATGTACAACCCAACACGTTTCCTTCCCATTCTCTCAATAGAGTTGTACAGAATCACTATTTGGGATTAAATCATCAGTCACTTGAGTGCTCTGCGTACTCCGCGTTTCACTGGATCTTAACATTTACCCTATCACTGGAGGTTTATTCACTAGTGAACATGCACTTTACCCTGATTACCCTTTGTTGTGATCCCCCCGTTTCATTGCTTAGTTTACTTTGTGTTCAGGAGTTTATTCCAAAACATTGCAGCACGGTGAGAATTTCTGAATAGATTTTAGTGCATAAACTCTTCTCTGCTTCGCCTCTTCCTACAGAGTCTTTTCTGGAGTCATCGCTTTTATTGGGAGCTTTCTTTTCCACTGTCCTGCAGTTCTTGTCCCATCTTGCCTGTGCTGGTGTCTCTGTTTCTGGGATTTAGTGCTGTGTTTCTTGGTTTTCTTCTCTTTATTTTGCTTCATGTTTAGTACAACCTGAGAAAAGATATTTGGGAGACAAAAATAGGAACTAAAAGTCCCTTTATGTGATTGTTTAGCTAACTGTAGAATTCTGCATTGGAAATGCTTTTTCTTAAGAGTTTTGAAGGTGTCATTTGTTCCTTGTAAGGTTGGGGGGCCCCTCCGATTTTGAGGCAGCACCACACTGGGATCTGGCCTTTGGCAGACTGTCCTTATTTAACCCAGGCTGTACCTTTGCCCTTTTGACCTGTTTCCTTTTGGGTATCACCAACTCTTTTTGTCTGTGGTGCTCTCTCACACGAGAGGAATTCCTCAGATACCTGCTGGCCTCCGTGCTTTCATCTTCAGAGTGAGCTCCTGAGAAGCTGACTGAGGACTCGGTCGGTGCCAGGTTGAACTTGACCAGTAGGCAGACCGAGCGACCCCCTCAGGGCATACCCAGTCCTACTGCTCTTTTTTTCTGGAACAGATCTCTTTCCCCAAAGAGAAATCCTCATATTTCTCATTTGAAGGATATAAGTTAGTGTTCTGGGAACTGAGAGGAGGGAGCTGCAGGAGCCTCACTGTTCCTGAGTGTACACTTTAAAAAAGTTGTTTACTCTTAAACTGATACATAAAGACTGTGTATGTTAATGAGGCCAGTATTATGTTTTGATACGTGTATACATTGTAATGTGTAAACTAGGTTAAACATTTCCAACATGTATTATTTCGTTATGGTGAAAATGTTCAGGACCCTTTCTTCTAGCTGTTGAGATAGGCGGTAGGTAATAATTGAAACCTACAGTCACCTAGCGTGCTTCCTCCTCTCTGACTGCTCAGCCTTTCCGTCCTCCTTCCAGTGTCCTCTCCCCAGCCTCTGGGAACTGCAGTTCAGTCATTTTTTTTTGTTGTTTTTCTTTTTGTTTTTTAGGGACAGGCTGTGCAGTTCAGGCTGGCCTTGAGTTCACTTTGTAGCCCAGGCTGGTCTCGAACTCGCAATAATCCTCCTGCCTTAGCTTCCCGAGTGCTGGGATTACAGGTGTGCACCACCGCGCCTGGCTCCAAAGTTCACTCTTACCCCCTGTAAGAGCCACTCTTTCAGCTTCTGCATGGAAGTGTGATTGTGATTGGGAAGTGCTGGTCTTACCTGGCTTATTTCACTTAACATCGTGATACCAGTCCATCCATGTTGCAGATGACACAGTTTCACCAGTCTTTTCTGGCTGGATAGTTTTCCACTGTGGATGTGTGTGCACCACATTTTCTTTCTCAGTCCTTCAGCTGATGTCCATTTAGGGTCTTTCCCTTCCTTGACTCTTGGGAGGAGCGCTGCAGTACAGGGTGTCACTGTCGCTGTCGCCCCACACGTGTGGCTGGAGTCCTGTGTTCTGTCTCGTCCGGTTTAACACCCAGGATTCTCCTGGCTTCCTCGGTGGAGGCGGTGTGGATGAGGTGGCATCTGCCACCTGGAGCCTCCCCAGCAGTCCCCTGGGTTCGGCTTTCGTTTCCCACTGCTACCGGAGACCCCTGTGCTTGCATGCTGGAGCCTTTCTGGGGTGCTGCTCCAGGAACTGGCTTGCTCCCATTTCCCACCACCTCTGTCAGGCCTCAGAGGCTTCATTTTTATGTTCTGCAAAGCCATCACCATTTTCCCTGGTGGTTTCTAGTTTTTAAAACACTAGCTTAACTTAACTGCTGTTCTCTTTTCTTTCACTTTTCCTTGTCCTTGCGGATTTTTCCCCTTTCACTACTTTCTTGTCAGTGTGTCAGATTTTTAGGAATAGAGATAAATGTGTCTGATTCACTTTCAAGTGGAAGTGCTCTGATTTTTTAAATTTATTTTTCTTTTTTTCCTCACCTACTTTCAAGAATTCTAATTGCTTTTTCTAAAATTTTCTCTGATTACTCCATTTTTGAGTATTTAGTTTATGTGTACTTTCTTTGATTCAGCAATTTACATTGACCTCTAGAATTTAAATTGTTTTCCAGATAAGATTTTGAAGAGGCAAAAATCAAACAAAAAGAAGATATTAATGTCTCATGGTTTCTAATTAACTTTGTAGCTTGATTTTCATGGGTTAGGACCCTGGCTTGTTTTTGTTTTTGTTTTTTGGGGGCAGGAAACTAGTTTGGCCATGAGGCTCTGGGTAGGATTTAAATTTATATTTACATACAAATTGCATTGCATGTATAATGGTTGTGCTCTGAATTGAACATGGACAGAAAGATACTTTTATCTCTCTAAACTGATGTCAAGAGCTTCCAATTTAGTCTTTATTACTTAGTAAGTGCATCCTTAGATAAGGTGCTGAGGACACAGTATCCTCAGTCCAGGGTGTAAAATAGGGCTCATTAATTGAAAATATGTATCTTATATAAAGCAGTTACATTTGTGGTTGAATAGAATTTATTTGCCTAGTAGCTAGACAGTATCTCACCTTGTAATTTTAACTATCACCTAGAATGGTCACTGTTTTAAAAATTTTTTATAGTATTTTGCATTTTTCATTTTGTATTATAAACTTTACTTATTGTACTCAGATCATATTTAATACTGTATTTTGCATATCTGAGTTGCCAGATTTGTATAGTACATAGAGGTGACTGATGATGTCTGATACCTTAATCACATTTTTTCTTTACAGTAAAGCCATTTGCAAATGAAGAAGAATATAAGAAAACTGAAGAAATAGTCAAAAAATTTAAAAATGGAATTGGAGGAAAATTGCACCAGAAATTGCTTGAAAGGGCAAAAGGAAAAAGAAATTGGGTATTTATTTTAGTATACTTATAATTGAAAAAATTGATGTGTTTCAAGGAACAAAATTAAAAATATACATAGTTCTCATTTCTAAATTCTTGCTGTAAAATCTTGCAATGATTGTTGTCATTATGATCATCCCAAAGAATGAATCATTTTACTGGGGAGTCTCATATTGTATATGGGCCTCTGTCTTACATGAGAGATGTGAGATAAAGCCCACATTTCCTGGTGTTCGTGGTTCCAGTCAGCATGCCCTGCCTGGGGCCCTGAAATCTGTATTTTAGCACCTGCCATGTGGGGTTCTGATGAAGGGGACCCAAGACCATGTTTGAGGTAAACGTTTCATCCAGGTAATGGTAGCCTGAAAAAACCCAAAATATTAAAATACATAGGTAGCATGGAAATATTTAAACACTGCCTGGAAGAAAAGGGGCCCCTACAGTATGCAACTAAATTTCATGCATAAGTAAGCAGATCTGTCTCTGAAAAATCTAAATTAATTTTAAGCCTACTGAAAAGTTTTTGTATTTATGATTTAGTACTTCAGTTATTATGTCTAAAGAAAAATTACAAATGCCTTAATTATTATCATTAGGTGAGAGTTTAGTATCGATTGTACACACTCCAGGTACTCTGAGGAAACACCTGAATACTTTGTTGTATAGTTGTGATTTCAATAATATTTAAGACCTTACAGTTACAGAAGGAAGGAAGCATGGAAAGAAGAATCACAGTAGCATCTTTAAACATCTGTGATGATTTAAAACAAGAAAATGTGTTTTTGAGTGTTGAAGAATAATAAGGGCAATGTTGCTTGTCTGCTTGCTTTGCCAGCAGTCACACCTTCAGGCATTAAGAAGAGCGCTCTCACTCTCTTTCAGCTGGAAGAGTGGTGGCTGAACGTGGCCTACCTGGATGTTCGGATGCCGTCACAGCTGAACGTCAATTTTGCAGGTCCTTCAGCCCATTTTGAACACTACTGGCCTCCAAAGGAAGACGCACAGCTAGAAAGAGGAAGTATAATACTTTGGCATAACTTGAACTACTGGCACCTGCTGAGACAGTAAGGACGCTCAGTGTGAATTTAGTTAGGGTTTACATGAAGTCTCAGTTGGCAGAGTGTTGGGAAGTTTAATTTACTACTTTGGGGAAGAAGACTGCAGCTGTGATGGTCTAATTCATAAGTTTCATAATGACTTCTTGCTCAAAACTTTTCTTAATAGAGAAAAAATGCCTGTTCATAAAGTTGGAAGTACTCCTCTAGATATGAATCAATTCCGAATGCTGTTTTCTACCTGCAAGGTTCCAGGAGTTACTAGAGATTCAATTATGAACTATTTTAGGACTGGTAAGTTAAAAAGTGTTTTGTTTTTTTTTAATAAAGTCATTGGGATTTAGGTATTTTCTAGTGATTTCTACTATAACACTGTGGAATACAGTTTTGAAGACTATTTCTTACTGGCTATTCACAAATCGGGCTTTCTCAGACCCTTGTCTGTGATCCATTCTGATAGTGTGGAGAAAACATGGGAATTGTGTTCTAAACTGTGGTACACATGGTTCAGCACAGATCTGATGCTCCCGTTGGACATTTGGGAGAGTGAAGTGTTTGAAGCGTAGAATAATGGATCAGAACCCTGAGGAAGCGTGGAGCGTGTCCCACCCTCCCTCCTGCTGTCTGAGTGTCTTGACTGCTCGCTGTTGTGTGCTTGTTACGCTCTTTTCTCTTCGAGAATGTTTTGTTCTTGCCTTACCTGGAGGGCTGGAGCCACGCTCCTGGGGCACTTGACTTTAGATTGACTCATCATACCATGTTTTTACTCTCAGTTTATGGCGCTTTCTGCTTGGTGTCCTAGCACATCTTGAAATGGAAAATTTTGCTATGGCAACTGCTAGTTTCTGGCTACTTCAAGAATTTCTATGCTTTATGAATTTAATAACAGCTTATAATTTCTGTAGAGTTTAGTTATGGATGAATGTTTTTTTCATCAGATTTTTAAAAGTTTTGTTGACAGCCGTGGTCATAGTCTAAGGATGTGAGTTTATTTTCATACAGAATTCAAATCCTTGGTGCACAGCGTTTGGGTGCTGGAGATGCTTAATGTCCTCAGGCTCACATGTTTACCTCAATGTTGTAAGTGAAAGAACTAAAAGAAAAGGTTAGGAAAATGGGCTTGTTTAATGCCCAACTATGAATGGAAGGTGATAGGAGAAAATGAATGAAGTAAGGCCAGCAAAGAAAGAAAATATGCATATCAATTAAGAAACAGTTGTCAGTGGATTTGGGTTTGAATTCTGTCTTTATAGTGTGTTCCTCCTTAGATAAGGTAACTCATTTGAGTTAGTGTGTAAAATGGGGGTTCGTTAATTGAGTGATGCGTTTCTGATACAGTGCTTTATGCTGTTGTGGTTATTACATTTGTGGCCCTGTGGCTTTGTGAAGAGGTGTAGACAGAGATGAACCTAAGGTAGTGAGTAAATGTGCAGAATCTCAGAGAGGTGCTGGTGAGTACTCCATAGAGAATTTGAGAAGATGCATGCCTGCATTTATGTTTTAGATGAGGTAACCAAAGATGCCTCTCTGAGCATCTGAACAAGATGGACTTGCACGGTTCTTTCAGTTTGTGTTTAGTTCAGTTTTGTTGTTTTTGATGTGCGCTGAGGGCAGAATGCCCCTGGCAGAAATGAGTTTGGCACATTCACCAGGCTAAACGGGTAGAGCCGTGCAGGCAGGAGGGGGAAGCTGACTTAAGGGTGGCTGGAGGCTGGGTCAGAGTGTTTTATAAACCAAGATAAGGTTTTTAGATTTTCCGTAGAGTGCGGATTGGAGCTGTTAATGGCTTTTGAGAAAGGGAGGGATGTGACCAGACTAAGATTCCTAAAAGATCGTTCTACCTGCTATTTAACAAATGGGATTTTAGGTATGAGACAAGTTTAGAGATAGCAAGGTCAGTTAGAAGGTTGTCTCAGCACTCCATGTAAGTCGTATAAAGGCTTGTACTAAGGGGTAACATAGAAGTGCTGAAAATCAGTCAGACTCTGGGTTGTGTTGGATTTGGAGTTACAGAATTAGTGTTAGATTGGTGGGGAGATGTGAGAGAAGAAAAGGAAACAGGATGACTTTAAGATACTTGGCTTGTAGCTGGGCATGGTACAGGGCACATATTGTCCTAGCTACTCCAGAGGCCGAGGCGGGAGGATTGCATTATCCCAGAAGTTTGAGGTCAGCCTGGGCATGATGAGATGCTGACTTAAATTTTTTTTTTCCTTGAGCAACAAACTAATTGGGGTTGATGACACATGAGTTCAGATTGACTTACAAATCTGTGGATTGTAGATTCATGTGGTGGGAAAGATTGAGAGATGTTTTAGGGAGTAAAAGCAAGAGATCCCTTAGACTATGTTGCATTTAAAATGCCTGTTACACCTTCAAGTAGAAATAGAAGTGGGCAGTTGGAGATAAAGTTTGGAGTTCTAAGAGGTCAGGACTGCATCTCCTGATAACAGAGTTAGGATTCACCACTAGAAGACATACAATTCATGTGTAAACCTCTTCAAATAACTGAGATCACTTTGGAATGTACAAATAAAGATAATGGGGAGCCAGTACTGATAGTTAGCACAATCCAGTACAGTGTTTGCACAGCAGAGGAGGAGTCAGCCAGAGAAACCAAGGGAGGGAGGAAGCAAACAACGGCAACCATCTCCTGCACTCCAGACAGGGAGGTGTTGCTGAGAGGTCAAATGCAGTGAAATTGTGACCTTTGGATTTGACAACATGACGTGGCTCGTGGCCGCCCTGGACAAGTGCAGTGTCAGTGAAATTTGGGGAAGGAACCCCATTAAGAGCAAATAAAATTCAGTCAATCAAGTGGTAACATTTACAAATAATACCAGCAAAACAACTTTTAATGTGCAATGGGAGATTTAAACTTTGGTTAAGAAGATAAGTGATATGTTATAGGGGTGACACACTATGAGAGAAGGAAAATAATCTTGCAAAAGAAAAAATAATCAGCCAGAGTCGTTGAGAAGGTAAGAGCTGAGAGGGTCAAAAGCAGAAGTAGTGGAGGGGTTGTCTTTGCTAGAGAGAAGGAAGAAGGGCGGGAACACAGAAGGTACGCAGTGCATTCAGACAGCATGGGCCAGTGTTGCTGTAGGAGATGAAGGAGGCTTGCACATGGCTGTCCCTAGTGAAGTGTGCTGAAAGCTTTGAGGATAAGGGTTTGGAATAGTTATTGTGGGAAGCGGGAAAAGCATGCGTGCTGTGGATTGTGGGGTTGCTGAGCAGTGCCGAGTGCCATCTTCCGACACCCACAGCTTATAGGAGGAGACATTTAATTTGGCTCACAGTTCAGAGGAGTCAGTCCATGGTCGGCTGACTCCAGGATAGAACCCTCATGGTGAAAGGGCTGGCAGAGGAAGTCTGCTCATCTCATGGCAGCCAGGAAGCAGGAAGAGAAGGGGGAGCCAGGAAGGTTCAACTGTAATAGCCTTTGTGAAGGCCTGCATGAAGGGTGTCCTAGGGCTAGGAATGTAGCTCAATGTTAGAGTGCTTGCCTAACAGGCTAGAGACTCTGGGTTCCCCTTCCTGAACCATAAAAGGAAGTAGAATTAGACTAGATGATATATGTGTTTTCTTCAGTAACATTCAGGGCCAAGTGCAGAGGAAAAGAGGGTAAGGATTTAAGGGCTTTTCCCAAGGAGGAATTGTAATGTTGAGCCATGGACTCTATCCTTGATAAGAAGAAAACTGTAGGAACTGGGGGTAGGGGCAGGGCTGAATGCAAGGTGTTGGGGCTAAGAGGCTCGTCTCAGTAAAGAGACTGCACTTGGAGAACAAGATACGTGTTTAATCTTTCCCTACGAGGCCCTTGGCAAAGGAAGTAGTACTTAAAAAGAGGGACTGAATCAGAGTAGTCTGAAGTTTATAGAAGACGCATAGTTCTTGGAGAGTTAAAGGGGTGCCAAGGAAATCATAGAATCTATTATCAGTGACTTACCAGGTGTTGTCAGAGTGTATAACTACAGACTGGGCAAAATTCTTTTCCCTTGCTATGCATGCGGATAAGGCCCTTTTGTACTAGAAACTGCTTTATTGAGAAATCATTGTTAGACATTGCTGTAGTAAAATTATCTGATGAGCAGTCAACATTAAAATAAAGTCAGAGAAATGTTACCTTTCCTATGGCTCTCCCTCAGGATTCCTCTAGGCTTCTTCTCCCCTTCCCGTTCCTGTCTGAAATCAAACTGGGAAGCCAGCAGTGGTTTGGGGTTGTCTGATTGATGCTCAGAATGTACAAGTACTAGAAACTCTAGTGGATTTGTAGATGTGACACTAACAAGGTTAACTTAGGAATTCTCACTTGAGTTTGTTTTTAAACTGATGCATAACACCAACATTGTACATGTCGGTGGGCCACCAGGCAGAGTTATGTCCGTGCACACATTGTGGACCAGGTTAGAGCTGCCCGTCTCCTCACACACCTGTCGTTTCTTTGTGGTGGTGTCATTCACAGTTCTCCTGCTGACTCTCCTAACTCCCTGGGGTTAGGTCACAACTAACACCTCTCGTGCGTTGACCAGCATGTCACAACTCACCTTTTGGTGATGGGCCTGCTGCCCTTGATGACCTTTCCCTGTCCTCCTGAGGTTCTCACTATGTGATGCAGTAGACGAATAAACGATAATGACTAGAGGGCTGATTATTCTGTGACATGTGCACTCTCCTCCTCTCCCTTGGGTGTTTGCAGCCTCATGCTCTCTGTTGTTTCCTAGAGAGTGAGGGCCGATCCCCAAGCCACATCGCCGTGCTGTGCCGGGGCCGTGTGTTCGTCTTCGAGGCACTGTGTGAAGGGTGTCTGCTCACCCCGCCAGAGCTGCTCAGGTTGGCACACGACTTCTTTGAGTCTTGTCAGGTATCAGGCTTTGGTTTAGGTTAAAAAATAAAGGTTCAGAATTACCTTTCTATAAAGGCACAGAAAACTGAGAAGTAAGACTTTTATGTCCTTTCTTAGTTCTAGTTTTTTCTAACTTAACTTCTAATTTTACTAGATGTACAGAAATCTCTTCTACTTGGAGAAAAGGAAAACAGTGCACACAAGACCACTCCCATCCCCTCCCCAGAGTCTGTCACTGCTGCTTCTGTTGTGTGTTTAGTTCTTTATGTGACAAAAGAACACACACACATATATCTACTCTGTGCATGTGTGTACATACATCTTTTTTAGAAATTATACATTGCTCTAGGCAAACTTTTAGGTATTTTGCTTTTGTGATTTGTGTATGTTTGTTGTATTTTTAAATTGGATTTGTCCAAATGTCACATCATTTATTAGATCAGACTTACTAATCACATTACCCAAAGCCACTCTTGTAGAAGTTGAACACCTGTGATTCATGGGCTCATTTTAGCTTGTGGCCTGTTCTTTTTCAGTAATAGAGAATTTGAATCACTGCATAAAGGTGATAATGGAAGTGTGAAGGTAGTAGATAAGATTGCTAATAGTCCAGGAAGGTCAGTGACAAAAACCTAGGAAAGGACACATCTGGCAGTGGAAGGAGGGCAGATGGTCAGTGAAGGCCCCCCAGGGGTCAGTAAGGCTAGGGAGACTACAGTGGAACAGTGCTACAAAGATGAAAACAAGTCACATCCTTCCTGTGTGAATTGCCTACACTGAGTAAATACAGTGGAGATTAAGCTCTGGGAGACTTTAGGGGTGACACAAGTGTGATTTAATGCTAATCACAGAGCTGGGGGTAGCTTAGTGGTAGAGGACATGCCTGCCATGTATGAGGCCTCGGGTTTAAACCCAGCCCCCCCCCAAATTGCTGTAGCACAAAACCCAAATTGCAGTCTAAGAGTGAGTGGGAAGTATTGAAAACACGTAATTTCTTAAAGACATGAGGTGCAAGCAGGAAATAAATATGTTGCTGTTGCTGTTGAGATCATAATCTGCTTCTGCGAGAGTGCGTGAAGACATCTGAGTATGAACCATGTGACCTGTGAAAGGCTGGTGTAGGTCCTGTCTCCCTGTGCTCTTTCTAAATCCTCCCTCTCATCTCCCTCAGACACCTGAGGTACGTCTACCAGAAGTGCCACCAAGAGCCTCCCGGCCCCGGAGTTGCCGCGCTGACCACTGAGGAGAGAACTCGGTGGGCCAAGGTAGTAGCCATGCTCTTCCTAATGAACCCGTTCTCTGACAAACTCTTAAGATTTTCTGGACATGCTGTATTTAAATTGTAGCTTTTAATCATCATCTCCTTACCCTTTAGGCACGAGAATATCTGATTGCTCTTGATCCAGAGAACTTGGCTTCCTTCGAAAGAATTCAGAGCAGTCTATTCGTGTATTCCTTGGAGGACAGCAGTGCTCATGTCACTCCAGAAGATTACTCCCAGGTGGCCGTCTTGCTTTTTCGCTGTCTTGCAGGCTTTCCTGGAGGACTCTTATGTATATTGAACGCAAGAGTTTTTTCCTTTTTTTATAGTCATGCTTTTAGAATTTTTTTCAGCTATAAAGTATACATGTGTCAAACCAAATGTTACAAATAGTGCTTTGTAAGTCCTGGTCACACAGTCAGATATAGTCTGTACTGGTGGAAAGAAGGACAACTGTTGCTTGCATGTCATATGCCAGTTGTCCGCCTTCTTACTGATTGCATGCAGAAAAGGTGTACATGGGACCCGGGGCACACACCACCTCCCTTCCCTGTCTGTGACCTTGCTCCTGTGCCTCGCTGGTGGGCAGCGTCTCCTCAGAATATGTCTCCCTTTAAAGAAGCCACTGAACACAGACTTCAGTGAGTTTCAAGGTCAGTGTGACCTTTTCTGTTGGCCCACTACAGCCTCGTATTTTCCTGGGAAATAAAAGGCAGGTTTTACATTGGTAACATAGTCTTTTAAAAATACTTAAATTATTTCCTAACAGATTCATCATTGTAAATGATAGGAAAAGTAATTCAGGATTAAAAATTTTATAGCTAGAAAACAACTTTTTTAGCTATGCTTTTTGCAGTGAGGGACAGAATGCTTTCTTTATTTATTTAGTCAGTCAGTCAGTCTTTTTGAGACAGAGGTTTGCTATGCAGTTCAGGCTGGCCTGGAGCTCACTTTGTAGCCCAGACTGGTCTGGAACTGGCCATGATCCTCCTGCCTCAGCCTCCCGATTGCTGGGATTGCAGGTGTGCACCACTACGCCTGCCCAGAATGCTTCTTAAGAATATATTTTAATGCAGAATTGTTTAAACTTTTTTAACTTCATCTGTTCTTAGAGGTACAATTAGATTGTAGCTCACTATACACAAGGTTGATAGAAAAATACAGTGAATGTTTAAGGTTTAAAAAAAATTACAGTAAAGAGTACCTTGCTACTAATGCCCCTCCGAGCCCTCCCTTTCACTTCCAGCACACTTATCCCGTCGTCCTTGCAGCTTTCTGAAGCTGCTCTGGGGTCCTCTTTCCTGAGTGTCTTTAGTTGCACTATCATGGCTCCTTCAGTGTGCTGAATTGATTCAAAGAGTTTATCTCCCATGGCCATTTTGACTTCAGGGAGGAGCCAGAAGTCACACAGTGCCCGATCTGGTCATAAGGTGGGTAAGGACACAGTGTCATGTGTTTACAAGCTTGGTTTTCCACTGAGTGACGCTCAACTGCAGTGCTCACCATATTTTCAATCACACCTCATGAAGACATTAGGATTTCCAGAACCGCTTTAGAAAGTAGCAGGAATGATTAGTGTGTTCAGAGCAGGTTAGGGAGTGTTTTAAGGGGGTTAATGACATTGTGTCTCTTACTGTAATAAATAATTTCATGTAAACACACTGTATATTTTCATTTCCCCTGGTGTACACACATGGATACCATATGTAATAGAAGTTTCATACAACAGTGCTTGCTTTTACTGTCTGGAGTGTTCTCTAGTCATTGTATTCTATGTTGTACTTAGGAGTGTTAATTGTGATATACTAAATTGATTTCATAAGTCATTAATGGGCCAAAATCTAGTTTGACAAACAAGTTAAGTGAGATGTGCATTTTTAAAGACATTTACCTTTTAATTTTTTAGTGACTAAGCTCATGTGGGCCTCTGCTACCATTCAAGATTCTGTTTTCAATTGCATGTTCTCTAAACACAAATAACGTACCAGGTTTCTCTTTTCTTGGAAGATTTTTGTTTTTTTTTTTTTGGTTTTTCTCCGGTACCGGGAACCGAACTCAAGACCTTGCGCTTGCCAGGCAGGCGCTTTGCCGCTGAGCTAAATCCCCAGCCCCTCTTGGAAGATTTTTGTAAGTCAAGATTGGAGAAATAACTAAAGTTCGGACCAGAATTAATTATGTTTTGAGCATAATGATATCATCATTTTATTAAATTTGGTTGGCTTGAAAAAGTGAGAATGAAATAAGTGTTTAAGATGTAAATACTTAACCAGTGTTAATGAGCCCCACCCTCTGCTTGCTTTTTTTGAGGGGGCACTGCTGGAGCTCAAACTCAGGTGCCCCTTTAACATGGAAAAATTCAATTTCTTTTAGATACTTGCCATGGTCCTTACTGGAGATCCAACCGTACGCTGGGGTGACAAATCCTATAACTTGATTTCCTTTTCTAATGGAGTCTTTGGCTGTAATTGCGATGTAAGTAAACTGCCGAAGTCTTTTTTCTTTTCCTTTTAGGTTAACTTAATGGCATTAGACCACAAATACTTAGGCTATGCTGTGCTACAGATGATACTTTTTTTTAGCTTAATGGCATTATATATTGAGAAGTTTGTGAATTCTCCGTGAGTTATGAATTCTCAAAGTTATGAATTCTCAAAGTTATGAATTCTCAGTGAAAGTAGAGCATAGATAAGTTATTTTCTTTTGTAGTAAGAGCAATAGTTTGATATATATCTGCTAAAAAAATTTTGTATCTAACTCTATGTAGTATAATTTCTTAAAACTTATGATTATCTGCTTGTATAGAACCACAACTATTAAAAGGTATTACATGAAATTATGTTCTATGCATAAAGAAATATAAATGGATGAATTTTAGATTCCCCTAGTAATTATGTAACTATTTTCCTGATATGACATATGATCTTTGGGGCACTGTTTAGATGACAAGTATTAAAATATGTGGCAGTTAGTACCAGTTTAGATCTTTATGAAAAATAAAAAGGATTTTTCCCATTTACTTCTGCCCCTTCTCATGTCTGCATTAGCTTTGTCTTAGATTCAAAAGATTTCTAAACTAAGAAAAAAATCAGAAAAAACAAGGGTTCAGTGGTTTTTAAAAATCAATATTCAGCTTTAAATGATGGAAATTTGAATCAAACTGGCATTAGCTGAGGAAGGTATTTGTTGGCATAAGTGTATGCCTCAGTATGAATAAGGCTGACTTCTCGTGCCCAGATGATGCTTTGATTAGAATCTCTCTCCTGGTGAGTAGACTACCCAGCATCATGTTGCCTGGAGTCTTGGGTCTTCAGGGGACTCTTAATCTAGTAACCCCCATGGAAATAGTCAGCTTCCTTTTTCCAGTGGTGCCAGCAAAAGTCCTGAAATGATTCTTGTACCTGGCTGTGACTGGTCTGTGTGACTCACCTGCCTGTCCTGGGAATCAGGTGCTCAGCTTAGCCTGGCCCAGGGTTACATGCTCAGATGTGGCGGTTGCTTGAAGGACAGTAAATGCTGCTGCTGCAGAAGCGTGTGGACTGGTTGATAAGCAGGTGCTGTCTGTTAGAGCAGCTCCTCGGAGTGACGGGGAACGGCGGCCCCGAGTCGTTCTGAAGATCGCTTTCCTTATCCTCCCTTTGAGTTACTGTTAACACAGTACCTCTTACTAGTTGCCTTGGTGTCTCTGGTCCATTGTCTGGGTCTGCCTGGCCGTCCTCGTTCTGGCTTCTGCTTGCCCTTTTTCTGAGAAGTGCCCTCTGGGCCGTGGTTAGCAGCCCCGGCCTCTCTCTTGTCTGCCACCAAGACTGCCATCCTTCAGCCTCTCATTCTCCCTGGTTCCGGGAGAACAGTGAGACTCTGATGCCGCTGCCTCAGGTAGGGCGGTGTCGATGTGACACTGTCCGCCCTGTGTGGCTGCTGTGAGACAGATGCGGTCAGCTCTGCCTTTGTGTGCTGTGGTGTTGACAGAGGAGCAGTACAACTCCCAGCCTGCTGGGTGTCAGCTGTGCCGAGTTCATGTCCCCTGAAATCAGAGAATGAATTCCAAAGGACAGAGGAGGTTAAGAGTAGGAAAAGTGTATTGGGAAATAGGAATAGCTCCTGAGAGACAGGGGGGTTCCCAAGTGGGCCGCCGCTGAGGCCCTTTATCAGGGGTAACTTATACAGCAAAGTCACAGTGTGGGTACAGCATGGGTCAAACTGTAATCAACCAACAAGGTTATAATAAGTCACCTAGCTAATTTGATCTGCTGGGGAAGTGGGGCACATAGTACGGGCATATGGCTGACATCATTAACCTTAGCTTATCTGTGACTTTCAAAGCAGGAACATTCTTGGGAAGGGATGGATCACTCTCCTGGGTGTCTGGTGCATATCCAGACATGATGGACTTGGTGGCACTAATTACTGTGCAGTTCTGCTCATCCCTGAGGGAAGCACACGCGTCAGGCGACTGGCACTCTGTCTTGAGGCCCGATCTTCTTCAGGTGTGCCTCCAACCACAGCTCTGACGGCTGTGATGTGCACTGACTTCCTTGTGAGCCCAGCCCCCCTCTGACGGTGCAGTGATTTTTCTCTGACTTAGCTGCCTGTGATGGTGTTGGAGCTGTACTGAAAAGGCCTGGCCACGTCGCTGAAGTTGGGTCTGCCTCTCCAGCCTGCCCTGCCTCTCCTTGCACTGTCACATTCCGTTCACAGATGGTAACAGTTTAGAGTGCAAGCTAACACAGAGAAGGAACCCTGTGACGGGGCTGTCAGCGCAGGAAGACGGAGAGAATAGGGCAAAAATTTGTCCTCCAAAGCTAGCCGCATGTGCCTGTAATCCCAGAACTTCAGGAAGCTGAGGTAGGAGGGTCCCTGCGGTTTGAGGCCAACCTGGGCTGCATAGTGACTTCAAAGTCAGCCTAGACTTTAGAGTGAGAGATCCTGTCTATAAAAAGGGAAACTTTGTCATCCATTAAGTAATGGGAAAATTTTCTAGCTGGAATTTCTTTCCCTAAATACAACCACAAGCCTGTAGCACCATGTGACATGGCCCATCTTTCCCTCATTTCTTCCACATTGAGAATAATTTCTACCACTGTATCTGGGAACTCTTGTAGGTGTTATACTTTCTAATCCTTGCCTAGGGTCTTTTTTTTTAGCATTACTGGGGGTTGAGCTCAGGGCCAGAGCTATATCCCCAGCCCTTTCAGTTGACTGGTTGGTCGATTGAATAATTGATTGAATTTTTGAGACAGGGTGTCACTAAGTTGTGCCTGAACTTGCAGTCCTCTGCCTCAGCCTCCCAGGGTCCTGGGAGGACAGGCCTGTGCCTGTAGGCCCAGCTCTAGTGGTCTTTTTCACTTGTAGAAGTTCATAGGGTCCTGAATGCCCTTGGATGGTCTGCCCTCCCCACTGCTTTTGAGCATCTCAGCACTGCATATGTACACCTGCTTTGAATCCCAGGGGGAAAAGAACACTTCATTTCTTTGGTTGTTCATGTTTCCTTACACGTGTTTTCTTACACACACACCACGCCTGAGCCCAGCAACCCTAATGCGTGCTTCCAACTGTGAACATTGTGTCTGAAAATAACATCACAGTTCCTAGGATGGCTGTGTCTTTATTGTAGGAAGCGAGGCATTTGAGGGTTCTGTCTGTACCTTACTGTCCTTTAAGAATACATTGCTCAGGTTTTAGTCTAACAGGGATCTGAACTCTTGTGCTGTTTCAGCATGCGCCTTACGATGCCATGGTTATGGTGAACATCGCCCACTACGTGGATGAGAGGATTGTAGAGACTGAAGGAAGGTGGATGGTATGTAAAACAGTACTTCCTTTCCTCCTGATGTTTTCACAGAGAAAATATTTTTAAGTCTTTGCTGTTTTCAGGGTTCAGAAAAAGTGCGGGATATACCACTTCCAGAGGAGCTTGTGTTTACTGTGGATGAAAAGGTACTAAGTGACATCAGCCAAGCTAAAGCCCAGTTTCTTCAAGCGGTAGGTGTTTCTTTTTTCTCTTAGATGGTGGTTGATGCTTTTTCTTCTACCAGCTGTATACATTGGACCCTTGAGTTACAACCAGCCTCACATCGAACAACGTGGGTTATGACTGGAATTTTAAAGGTTTAATTTACAACCAAAGTCTTGAGTTATGACTTGAATTCCAGCCACATGTGCAGTTGTAAACAAAAACTCCCGATGCCAGAAAAGCGTCATTCTGAGTCCAGATGCATGTGTTTGTGGATGTGATTTTGGTCAGTGCTTTATATAATTGCTACAATTACTGCTATCAAAATGGCCTAAAAAAGATAGAAAAGAAGCTATGGGAGGAAGGGAAGGTAAAGAAAGCAATTAAAATTGAAAAGAAGAAGAAAATTGTGGAGAAATATGAGTGACATTCATGTGACCAATCTCATTAATATGTACAGCATGTGAAATCCACCATCTCAACAGTCTTACAGAGAAAAGATTTTTTTGTTTTATTTCAAAAAATAAAAGAACAAAAACGTATTAACAAACACACATACATTTATAAAATAACACAAGAACAATACAAGCAGTACTGAAATTCAGACAAGGTGATAGCAAATTAACAATGATAGTTGTATTACATATTGATTTCTTCAAAGTGGTTATTCAGGAAAACAAATACAGACATGTAAGACTGATCAAATAATTAATCATCAACTGTTCCTTTCAATAAAGCAATAGAAGTCAGTAGTGCAACTATGTTAGCTATCCTGTATATACATATAAACATAATTTTCCCCTTTCTAAGAAAAGATTTTTATGAGGAAGCTAGTATTGCTAAAGGTGTTATTCACATTAGTAAGTCATGATCAACAGTATCACATGAGATAGAAAGGCTGTTAGTAGTTTGGATGAGTGAAAGGCAGATGGCAGGTTATAGCCTATCTGAGTCTAATTTGTGAAAATGCTCAGGCTATAAATGGAGATCTTATAAAAGACAATCCATCAACGAGTGATAATGGTGAAACATTTTGTGCCAGTAAGAGGTGGTTTTACAATTTTAAAGCAAGAACTGGGTTCATAGTGTAACTAGGCATGGTAAAACAGCCAGTACTAATGAAAGGGCTGCTGAAAATTACATACACTACTTCAAAATGACACGGAGAAATGGCTTGAGGAAACTGGCCTTTTCTGGAAGAAAATGCCCAGGAGGACATATATTACCTAGGAAGAGAAGAAAATGTCAGGCCATAAGCCTATGAAGGACAGGCTAACCTTATTGCTATGTGCTAATGTGAGTAGTGATGTCAAGATAAGTTCTCTCTTGGTTTATTACTCTGCAACCCCTGTAGTGTTTAGAAGACATGAAGTCATGAATAATAAGCTAGGGGCCATATGAAGATCTAACATAGAAGCCTGGATAACAAGAGTACTTTTCCTTGAGTGGATTGGGGAGGCTTTCTGTCCTACTGTTAAGAAATATCTAGAGGACAAAGGTTTACCTCTGAAGGCTCTCCTCATCATGGACCATACTCCTGAGATTTGAAAGAATTGGCTGAAAAGTTCCCATGCTGTTAGTCAAGTGCTTCCCACCTAATACAACCAACTGCTCTGCTGCAGCCTATGGATCAGCAGGTTATAGCTAACTTAACATACATCAAGGAACTGTTCCTGGAGTGCTCCCAGATGGTCTCAGAGACAGATTTAATTCTAAAGAGTTCTGGGAAGAACATTATAACATCCTTTCCTGCTTGGTGTGGACTGAGAAATCCTGGGCCGGTGTCTATCTAAGGGCACTGAGACCTGCCTGGAAGAAAGTGTGGCATAAAATCATACAGGAGAGAGACTTCAGAGGCTGTGTAGTGGGTCCACAGTCTTCAGTTGACCCTCTAGTTGTGACATGGTCACTATAGCAGAGTCCGTAGGCTTGCAGGTAGACAGTGGTGATGCTGAGGGATTGATAGAGGAACACAGACGAACTGTCTAGAGAGGAACTTAAGTAACTTCTGGCTGAGCAAGAGAGAATGAGCTTTCTAAAGAGGAGGGGGAATATCAACAATAAGTCCAGTAAAGTTCTTTTGAAAAGGAAATCCTGAAAAAGTGGACAAAGCTATAAACATTTCTAGAGAAAACCCTCCCAGAAGAGAAAAAGCCAATCATTGTATTCACTTGCTTAGCGACAATATCATGTCACACTATAGAACAGCACTAAAGAAAAGACAGAAACAGACCAGCTTTTAGTTCTGAAAAGGCTGAGACCGAGTGAGCCAGAAGCAGGTCCTAGTGGGCTACAGACTCTCCCAAGGAGAGAAAGGACACAGAGAGCCAGATTCCTGATACTCTTCTGAAACAGGAAACAATAACCACCAAACAATAACCACCTTCCAAACAATAACCACCTTCCACTTCACCTTTCCTGCAAGCCAGAGATAACTTGAATGGTGAGTAAAGAGTGAAATTAGTGTTTCTGGTAAACTAGGCACATTTCATACCTTTTTAGTGAATGCACTAGGAGAATTATTGGATTTTTTGGTAAATTACACATTATACAACCCTTTTTTATTGTGGAAAGGTTAGTTAAGGGTTTTGGGAGGTTTGGAACACATTATAGGTGTTTCCATTATTTCTGATGGGAAAAACAGTCTTGAGTTACAGCCAACTGGAGTCACAGCCAGCCCTTGCAAACTAATTGAGTTCTTAAGTCAAAGGTCCACTGTATAAAACTTTGGCCATCCCTCAAGTGTGTCTGTGGAAAATATTTTAGAACCACAGCTTCGGAACTTTAGTTACTCATCTGAGGATGGATCTAATGCAGTGATGGTCCACTTTGGGTGATTCTCACTGTCCCTGTTGTGATCTGTCTCTTGTAGGCATCTGATCTGCAAATCGTAGCACCTGCCTTCACCTCTTTTGGCAAGAAGCTGACCAAGAAGCAGTCGCTGCACCCTGACACGTTCATCCAGCTCGCACTGCAGCTGGCCTATTACAGGCTCCACGGGCGGTGAGGGCATTCCTTTCTGTGTTTAAAATCTTGGGCCCCAGGGTATGCATTTCCCCTAGCAATGCCAGCCTCATGCCCCAGCATTTTCGCTCTTCCACTTGGCACTGGGTCCTGTTGTCTTCCATGGACCATGTGGCGGTGCTGCGGGGTGCGACGGATGCCCTGCTGTCCTTGCTGTGTACCACAGCGCTCACTTGATGCTTGTGATGGTCTGCGCCCTCTGAGAGCGTCCTCACCACAGAGAGCAGCAGGTTCTCTTCAGCCTGTTTTCTGATGGGCTTGTGAAAACTGGGTTGTGTAGCTGATCCAGCCTCTCCTCATTTTTGGAAGAGGAGAGGCACTGTGTTGTGAGTTTCTAGGGCCCGAGCAAGCATGGGAACTGGGTCTTTTATATCCAACCTGGTATAAGCGATAGACAGTTAGGGGTTGTTTCTACCTTTTGACTTTTGTGAATAATGCTGCTATGAACATTCATATACAAATACCTGTTTGAGTCCTGTTTTTTATTCTTTTGAGAAGTGAAATTGCTGCATTGTATGATAATTTTATGTTTAACTTTGAGAATTGCTAAACTGCTTTCCATATAGTTGTACCATTTTATATTTCCATCAGCTGTACACATATCTTCCATTTGCTACAAGTTGTTTCCAACACTGGCAAAGGATGATCAAAACATATGGTGAATAGCTGAAGAAACTTTGTTGCATCAAAAGGCACTTTGCCCTTAATCCTCCTCAGAATGTGTTTGCTCTCTGAACGCACTCCTCCCCTGGTTCCTGACACTTTCTGAAGCAGTTCTGGTGTCCTCTTTTGTGTCCTTAGAAGATGTGATAAAAAATACGGTAAATACTGTTGCCAAGTGCCGTCCAACAGAAAGGTGAGCTAGTAAATACACAACTCTGTGTCCTCATCTACCGTATTCACCAGATCCGGCACTGTGTGACTTCCAGCTCTTCCTCAAAGTCAAAATGACCATGAAAAATAAACATTTTGAATCAAGTTAGGACGTTGAGGCACCTGTGACAGTGTAGCTAAAGACAGGAATGAGGACTCCAGAGCTGCAGAAAGTGGCAAGGATGATGAGGTGAGATTGAAGGGAAGGGAAATAGTTTGAGGATTGATCGCACTGTGCTTTTTACTGTAATAAATGTTTTAAGAATGTAAATATCCACTACATTTGTGGGTCTTTGATCCATTTGAGTTCATTTTTATATATAGCATAAGGTAAGAGTTTGTATTAGTCAGGACTTGCCAGAGAACAGAACCAAATATGCATATTGGGAGAGAGAGAGATTGACTGATTGGGATTTGTGATGGAATTTGCTCATACGTCTGTGGGGACTGAGAAGTTCCTAATCTGCCTGTGAGCTGAGGAAAGCTGGTGATCTAACTGGGCCTGAGTCCAGATTCCTGAGAATCTGGTGCAGTGGCGTGAGGGTGTGAGGAGTCCGATCTGGGAGGCCAAGGGCCGGGAGAGAGCAGCTTCCCTTCTTTGCCACTGTTCCACCTAGGCGCTCAGCAGCCTGGGTGATGCCTGACACATTGGTGAGGGCTGTCTTCTCACAGTCTCCAGGCCAGAGCTCCTGTCTTCCTTGAACACCTCGCAGACATGCTCTGTAGCTTCCCTTTCCTGGTCAAGCTGACCGCCTGGGGCCCAGCTCTGCTGTAGGGTGCTCACTTCCCCAGCTCAGTCATCTTTGCACCTTCTTGAGAATCAGTAGGCCAGAGGTGTGAGAGGGTTTTGGGGTTTTCACTTCTCTTCAGTTGTGTCTACCTTTGCATGAGGGCTAGGCTCTCTTTCTCATTGGAGCTGTGTAGCCAGTTTGTTACCTGGAAGTGTGAGTCATTCACCTTTGTCCTTCCCAAGGTTGTTAGGTTTGTCTGGTCACTTCAGATTCCTCCAGAGCAGAGAACCAGGGGCAGCAGTCGTGGGGTCTGCACAGGCCTCTGCGCATAACCGGCAAGGTGACAGTACCAGGCTCTTCCCTGCTCTGGTTTGAAAATTAAAGTCTTGACTTCTGCCTGAGTTGGAGGTCTCAGTCTCTGAATAAAGCCAGCTTTTTCGATTCACTCTATTTGTGATGACGTTACAGCGTTTTCTTTATGACACGCTCTTTTTATTTTCATAGCCCTGGCTGCTGCTATGAGACAGCGATGACGAGATACTTCTATCACGGCCGCACAGAGACAATGCGGTCGTGCACCATGGAGGCTGTCAGGTGGTGCCAGTCCATGCAAGACCCTTCTGCCAGCGTGAGTATCCTAGGGGAGAGGCTCCCAGGTCGGTTTAATTGTTGTCAAGGAATCCTGGGTCATTCAGATACTTTGAGACATTTTGTCTTCTGAAGTTTCCAAAACACATATATGTTCATTTGTCAGTGAAGTGTGCATTTGGAAAGACTAAGAAACGAAGAAGCTCTCAAGGGGAAAAGAAAAATAGTAATTACAAGAAGTGATGGACCTGCTACCTAGCTTGCTGAGGTGACCATTTTCACGTTTACCTGAATATCAAGTTGTACATCTATATATATGTAGTTTTTGTCAATAACGCTGAAAAAGCAAACAACAACAAAAGAAAGATAGGCCTGGAAAAAGGAGCTTGTTTGTGTCACTCTCTGGGCAGTGTCTTCTTACTTGAGTCCTTGAACCTGACTGATCTGCATGTGGAATGGCTGGTGAAGGCAGGCCTCTGCCTCCTGTCCTGGAAGGGAAGCTTTTCTTTATTGGGCTGAATGTTTCTGAAATCATAGATTCTGGTTCTCCGTGAAATCAGCGGGACCAGAACAGGTGTATATGTTTTATTTTATGATTTTTGCATTTTGAAGTGTTTAGACAATAGCATATTTCTTTCTTACTATTGTTTTGTGTTTTGCCGTCATTTTAGTTTTGATAAACTTGGTCATACACATTTTATTTTCATGTTACTATTTTTGTACTTACAATTTAGTTTTGAGATCTCCACTGTTTCTGTCATTATATTTGTCACTGTCACTTGAGTACTGCCTACACATTCTCATTTTCCTTTTCTAGAAAAGAAACAATCAGAGCAGGCACACAGGGAAGGAAAGGCGGTAGGATAAATGAGAAAAGACACAGTAGCATGTACTATAGGTTCCTGGAAGTCTTTCCTGTCCCAGACTTCCCAAATCCTAGTTATAATGAACTTAGGTTCTTTTTATTTAGTTGAGTTTTATGCAGTTTGTTATTGGAACTTGGTTTCTTGATGTGTATTGAAATGTGATCATCTTGATTTTTAACACAGCTTTTTGAGCGGCAGCAAAAGATGCTACAGGCTTTTGCAAAGCATAATAAAATGATGAAAGAATGTTCTGCTGGGAAAGGTATGTATGTTAGAATTATTCTGACTTAAAAAAAAAAATCACGTTAAGAATTTTTGCTGACTCAGATGTGGGGTTTTATTGCAGGGTTTGACCGTCACCTTTTAGGTCTTTCACTCATAGCAAAGGAGGAAGGTCTTCCTGTCCCGGAGCTTTTCACAGACCCACTTTTCACCAGAAGGTAATGTAGTGTAGTGCTTTACCCTTGTGCCAGTGCTGAAAGTGCTTCAGAAACAATGTAAGCATCTGTAGGCCTGAAATGACACCTTCCTTTGTGCCATGCAGTGGAGGAGGCGGGAATTTTGTCCTCTCGACAAGTCTGGTTGGTTACTTACGAATCCAGGGTGCAGTGGTCCCCATGGTGCACAACGGATATGGCTTTTTCTACCACATCAGAGACGACAGGTGAGGCTGCTCTCTTGTGCTTGCTAGGTGGGCTCAGAAAGGGACCGCATTTGTTGTCTGAATGTTTTTCTACACTGTGATTCTAATTATGTTGTCACCTGTCACTTGCTGTGTAAGTAACTCTTGTTGCCACTTAGACATTTCGTGTGTGTTGTATTTCTCTTTCCTGCTTTTGAGACACTAACAAAATCAGTCCTTAGAGGTTTTAATGCAAAACACTTGCAGGTTGTTCCAGTGATCATACCTTCAGCCTCAAAATCAGTACATTCTTTGACATTTGAGTTGTGAGAAACTACAGTGAATGTTTAAATTTTAAAAAATTGCATTACAATAAAGTTTACATTGCTGTGAATCTTCCCATAGTCTCCCCCTCGCTCCGCGCACACCCCATCATTCCTGCCACTTTCTGAAAGAGCTCTGGAGTCCTCTTTCCTGAGGGTCTTTAGTTGCAGTGTCCTGGCTGCGTAGGTGTCCTGAATCAATTCAAAACATTTCCCTTCCGTGGTCATTTTGAGTTTGGGAAAGCCAGAAGCCGAATATGCCAAGTCCAGTGAATAAGGTGGGTAAGAACACACCAGCGTGTTTTTCGAGCCTGCTTTCTGTTGGTGGTGCTCGGGGCGATGTTCACCGCGTTTTCAGTGACGCCTCATGAAGACACTCAGGAGAGAGGACTTCCCAGAGCTGCTTCAGAAAGTGGCAAGAATGCTGCGATGAGTGTGACCCAAGCGAGGGGAAGGATTTGAGGGGGGTTAATGACAATGTGTCTTTTACATGTTTGAATTTAAACATTTTTATGTATTTTGATCCTCCCTGGTATTTGGTCCATACAAGGCATTTTATGGTTTAGTTCAGATAAAGTTTGTAAGTACATTCCACCCCCTAAATCCGTGGGTTCTGCGTGGCGGAGCATAGTGATGGAGGCACCTCAGATGGAGCATGAGAAATTAGAATGCGAGTATGCATGACATATTTCAGTTTGAAATACAGTGTTTTTTATACTTTCTTTTTTTAACATTTTACCGTCAGTATCAGTGTTTCAGAATCATCACTGGCTCCCACGTGTGGTGCGATTGGTGCAGTTAGCTATGCCAGTGGATGGTGCCTTCCCACAGCTCCATCTGTGCACATTGGCACACAAATTAAATCTAAGTGATAAAGGCTAGGTAAGGGTCTTTTCACAAGTAGGCTCAGAAGTCTGAAGTCGTCATGATAGAGTACGAGTGAACATTCTCACGCTTCCCTGAAGTGGCAGCCTCTGTGTTGTATGCAGGAATGGAGCTCTAGCCACATATACCTCAGTGCTCTGGCTTACGAGAAAGTCCACTTGTAAAGATCTGGGCAAAGTTCTGCTCTCTCCTTTGGAAGTCCTCAGTGGGGATTTGGTGCACTGGGTGTTGCTTTAGGTGCAATGGATGACCAACAGGCAGGATCTCTTCTCCTGCAGATTGTGTTTCATACTTGCAGATAAAAGACAGACACAAACAGATAATCCTAACAGTGAGAAATGCTGTGGAGAAGTAAGCAGGTTGCCGTGTGATAGAGATCAACTGGTAGGGTGGTGAGCAGCGCTGGTCCAGTGTGGCCAGGCGCAGGCTCTGAGGAGGAAGGGCAAAGCTGCGACATTAGGAAGAGAGGAACTAATCCCACTGCTAGGCAAGAAGGCAGCTCTGACTGCCGCTTCCTGTCCGCTGCCACTGCTGAGCCAAGCCAGCACCCTGTCCCTCTTAGGCCGTCGCAGCGGGTTCTTTCCCTGCACACCTCTGCACGGAGGCCCTCGTGTGCCTTCTGGAAACAGCTCAAGGGATGTTGCTCTTTGAAAACCCTCAGCAGCTTTCCATTTCACAGTGAAATGAACTCTTTCTGAGAGACCCTACAGCTTGAGCTCTGGTCTGCTTTCTGACTTTCTTCTACAGCTCGGCCTTTCCCTCTGCTCCAGCCTCACTGGTGTCTTGGGCCTTGAGTGTTGCCAGCAAGCTCCTCTTGGTATTGCACTCAGGATTTCTGTGCCTGGTCTTCCTTCCTGGAGACACATGCAGGGGCCACCACCTTACCTTGTCGGGGGATCTGTTGAGACATTACTCATACGAGAGGCTCTCTGTGACCCTTTGGAACAGCATTTCTCTTCCTTCCCTGTACCATATGCCTTTCTTCATCGTGCTGAGAACTGTCTGATGTGAGCATGTGTGTGTGTGTGCGCACATGTATGCATGCATGTTCAGTGCACTATCTGTCTTCCCTCCCTTGTATATAAAAAAAGCCGTATGGGCACTGGGTCTATTATATCCCCAACTATATAACAGAGCCTTGTACATATGTTGTACCCAGTAAATGTTTTTAGAATAACTTTGTCAATAAAAGTTCAGGTCCTGGCACAGGTACGGCATTGGCACATGCAAGGTGGAGAGGCAGGAGAGCTGTCATTGGCAGTCGAGGGGAGAGTGACAAGAGTCCGGAGAGGAGACCGTGTTGTCCGCCCCAAGTGCACATGAGAATCACCTGGAGAGCTTAAAAGGAAGAAGCAAGAAAACTGGAGACACTGTTTTGGTTGATGTGGTAAATTTTAAATAGAACCTTGTGACATGATAAGGTTCTTTTGGATTTTCTACTAGGAACACTGGGAAGTGTATTAAACATTTTAAGCCCAGAAGTGACTTGTTTCACTTACATGTAAGAGGATCCCAGGCTGTTCCCTGGGTATAAGTTGGGAGACAGTAATGTGGTTAAACTAGATAAGGGAAGTGAGGAAATATCTTAGCCATTTGCCATTAACAGGCTGAAGCTGGAAATTTAGAAGAGATTGATTTTGGCTTTTGGATCAGGCAGCCCATTTGCTGTAGACTTGTGGCAGAGCAAGTGGGACACAACACAAGGGACAGCCTCTGGTATCACACCCAGCCTGCTTTGTAACCTTTGGTCCCAGAGGGCAGTGTCAGCCCCTCCTGACGACCTTGTCTCTTCTCAAAGGGCCCAGCCCTCTTGGGCACATGGAGCCACAGTCACTCCTGCCTGAGCTCTGGTGGGCAGGTCGCCTCCAGCCATGGCAGGAAGGACAGGCACGATGTCTCTGGCAAAGCTGCTGATAGTGAAGTAGAGAAGTAGCAAGCGCAGATGGGTTGTGGAGTTCGAACCAGGTGTGCTTCCTGAGGGATTGTCAGTTTTGGTGGTGCATTTCTTGGAGTGAAGAAGACTGGGGCACTGGTCTGAGGCAGGTGAAGAGGAGCCAAGACCTGTGTGGTATATGTTGCTATGGAGAGGAGCTCACTGTCCCTGTGGAGAGGCTTTTTCTGCCGGAGGCTGGGTGCATGAGTTGTGGCCCCTAGACCCAGAGGTGCGTGTTTATGAGACATTGCTAGACACACCCACAGTAGTTTTCAAACAGAACACTTAGAAATGGTTCTGAGTGGTTTTCTTTTTCCTTCCGTTGTTAAACTTGAAAATTGTGTGACCAAAAAAATTTCTTTTTAAGTAGCATTTTAAATGTACTCAGTGGACCCTGGAGTTACAACCAGCCTGACATACGAACAACTTGGGTTATGTTATGGTTTGTGTCTGGATGTCCCCCCAAAGCCTCATACGGTCGTGGGGCGGGCTTTCTAGAGTTTATGATTGATTCACGAGTGCAGTACCCGCCTGGGGGCGGGTAGTTTGCATATAATGTGAGGGAGGGAAAGAGGCTGCTTGCCTCGCTCCTCCCCTCAGGCTCTTGTTGCTTTTGCTATCTTCTGCCTCCATGAACTGCCTTGGAGCCAGCCAGTATGGACTGAAACTTCCACAAACTGTGAGCTAAATAAACCTTTCCTTCCTTAATTCTGGGCGTTGGGTATTTTGTCTCAACAACAAGAGAAAAGTAACCAAGACAGGTTATGACTAGAATTTTAGTTTTAGCTAAAGCCTTGAGTTATGACTTGAATGCTGGCTGCTTGTGCTTCTGGATGGTCTCAGATACAGATTTAACCCCTAAAGAGTCCTGGAGGGCACATTACAACACCCTTTCCTGTGTGGGGTTCATTGGGAAATCCTGGCTCGTGTCTCTCTAAGGACAGAGATCTGCCTCTGTACAGGAGGGAGACTCTGAAGGCTGAGTAGAGGAGCCTGAGCCTTCCATTGACAACTTGAGTTACAACCAGTCTTCGGGAATGAGTTGAGTTTGTAACTAAGGGTTGTAACTCAGTATATTATCATTGTAAAACATTTATAAAGTATGGAAAACAGGAAGAGTTACCTGCCTGTCCACTCAGGCACAAGATTATTGTTATTGTGTGGTGCTTCTAGTCAATAATGTATGTAGACGATTTTTAAATCCTAATTTTGTGTCCTTTTTTGTGATTTCCTTCTCACCATTCAAGCAGTTCCCAATGCCATTGACTATGCTTTGAGATATTTTCAGGGTTGGATAATTTTCATTCTTCTATATGCAAGATGGATGGCACTTAGTGAGGAGTAATTGCCAGTGTTTCATAAGTTTCCATAACTCGCCTAGCTGCTTCCCTGTCTCTCGCTAAGAGCCAGGTTTTCTATTCTGAGGTACTAGAAGCCAGGCTTTTCTCCTTTTCTTCTGTTTCTTGATCACTGCAAGTTGTGTATCACAGTTAAATGTGTCCTTTATCATTTTCTCAAATGTATCCTTCCTCATAAATGTATCCTTTCTCATTTCATCATACCATTACCGCCTCTAGGTTTTATAAAATATTTTTATTAATGTTACAGACAAAGATAACCTCTTTATTTAAGAAGTGAAATATTTTTGTTTATTGGCACTGTTTCTTTTGTGAATATTCTGCAAGTAAGCATGATTATGTAATTTAGAAAGATAACTGAATTATAAAAAATGTAACACTTGAACAGGAATTATTAATCTGTGGAAAGAAACGTTTAGATGCTGCCTAAAGAGCTGCAAGCCCATGCACAGTCCAGCTGGAACATTGAGAACAGCTCACTAGCTAGAAAGCAGGCAGGACTCTGCAGGGCTCTGTATTCTGTGCTTGCCAAATGTGCACAGTAACCTGGGCGCCATCATGCTATACTGGGCCAGAGCAGGCTTCCGTTTGATTCTGCTTAGTCTGAAGCCCGTGCTCAGGACACAATTTGCTGTCCTTTTCAGTGATGTGGAAATCGCATGCCTGACCAGTGAGTGCCTTACCTTGTATATTTTGCTTCTGAGCTCTATTTCTGTACTTCATAAAAGCTTTTGAGTGTCTGGAAAGGGAAAGGCTGGTTCCACAAAGCTAAGAGCCAGGTTTTCTGTTCTGAGGTATCAGAAGCCAGGCTTTTCTCCTTTTCTTCTGTTTCTTGATCACCGTCTCACTGGCCAGATCTGGGATTTCTCCATGCAGGGATCCAGGAGGCGATGGCAGACGGTGTGGCTTGGTGAAATATTTTCTTTGCTTCTTCCAGAAGTGCTTTTCTTACCTCTTTTCAGCCTCTACTTTGTTTTTTTAAAAATGCTGTTCAAATGCTAAACTCTTTCTTTAAAAGCAGTTCAAATTTCATTACAAACAGTAATGTCGGTTGTATTACAACCCACTCCAGTGACATTTTTTAGGAAGAAGAGTTTTGATTGTTTTCTTTTGAACATAAAACTTCTTCTTGAACATAAAAAGTTCTCTTCCAGAGAACTCTTGGGCTCTGATTTTTTATTCCTTATTGTCCTCAGTCTATTGTCTAGTGAATTACAGAAATTCCCTGGCATTACCTGTAAATACAGCTTGTCTTTTAGTTGTCTCATGTTACACATGTCTAATACCAGCAAGATTTCACGTATTAACAGAGAGGTGGAATAAAGGTCCTAGCTCTGTCTCCCATCACAGTTGAGGCCTCTTGTGTAATCACTCATGATTTGTACTTCACAGATTCATTGTGGCCTGCTCAGCCTGGAAGTCTTGTCTGGAGACTGACGCAGAAAAGCTCGTTGAGCAGATTTTCCTTGCTTTCCATGACATGATGCAGCTTATGAACCCTGCTCATCTTTAGGGACTTGGCACTTGACAGAATGATCATGAAAGGAAGAACGGAATGTTGACTTGAACGAAACTTGACAAATGTAGAATCAATAGAATCATGCTCTCCAAATGTATTCTGCCGTAGAAAGTAGAATACTTTTAAGCTTTCACTACTGCAACAGCAATGAGAATTGAGTATACAACTATGCAATGTTTAAGGCTCAACAATGCAAATCTATAATTTTAACAATGCAAATTTTACCCTAACTTTTAATACTGTTGATATTCATATATGTTATAAATCCTCTTTCTAAATATCACTATAGAGTTCATCTTTGCGTACGTTAACATTTTCTAATTGTTAAAGGGTATGAAGTACATGACTAGATGTTCATTCCCAAATCCATGCCCTCCCTGCTCACCACAGGGGTCTGAATGGATTGTGTTTCTGGGGAAAACCCACTGCAATCATTGGTGATCGAAAACAGATAAAATTAAGTTATAGTAGGGAGACTCACAATCTTAACTGCATTGTAATTAGTTTTGTGAATATAAAAATAAAACACATATTTAAAATTAAACACTAATGGTTAATGACTTTTGATAGTTAAATGTTGAATCAGTCTCAGGATTTTACAGTTTGTTTTTCCTGTTTACTATTGAATGTTGTTTCTGCTCTCAGAATTTCAATCATGTAGTTTCTTGTTTTCTCTTTGAATAAATGACTCATTCCCCTTTGCTTTCTCTGTGCTTTCTCATCCCATTATGTTGCTCTGCAGTACACCACTCCCATGGCAAGGTCAGGCTGGGGTGGAGCTCGCAGGCAGTGCTTGGCTTGCATGCACAAGGCAATGGGGTTCCATGCCCAGCACTGCAAACAAAGCAGCCAGGGTCTGATAATAGCTTGCCCTTCCTCATGGTTTTGTTAGTTGACTGTGCTAAGACAGTTCTTCTGCTGATCTTGCCTTGATTTATTTACGTGGCAGTAATCCTCAGGCTGCTAGGACAGGCTGGAAGGTGTCAGATGTCCTCATCTTCTGTCTGGGCCTTAGTGGCCAGGACTCTGCCCCTGTGGTCTGTGTTGACTGAGTAGTCAAGACGGAATGCAGACTTTGCCTGGGAGTGTTCCGAGAGGTGCAGGTAGGAATCACACAGTTTCTTAGGGTCTGGTGTCATGTGCCCTTGTGTCATTTCTGCTGTACTCTGTTGGGGAAGTCCAGGTCCAGGGGGTGGAGGAGAAAATCTTACCTCTTGATGAGAGGAACAAAATTATGTGTTAAGAGTGGGCAGAGGACACTTACATGGCTGTTTTTGGAGTATTTTACCATATTTTAATACACAGATTGCAGTATACTTAACGCACTGGTTGTATCTCCCTTTAAACGTTCTTACATGCTCTGACTTTCAAAAGACTAGTTTATGGAAACATGTTGTCATTATAGTAACTGACACTTAAACCCGCTGCACTGGACTGGGCTGTATCCTGAGAAGTAGGACTGGGACTGTTTCTTTGTGAAAACACTCAGAGGCAGCTCCTGTGACCCTTGATACATCTCTCATAGTCACTGTAGACAGCAGGTGAAGCCTGAACTTTCTCCTCCCTGGTGCAGTGTGTAGACTGGATAGCCAGGGCTATTAGAATCGTCTGATTGGTCTTTAATAATGTTCAGGAGTTGGTTGTGTGAGCACTGTCTGGCAGAGAAGCCTTTTCACGCAAGCCTTAACATGTTCCCTTAACTTGCCTGAAAATCTACATCACGCTCTAAAAATAGATTCCTGGACCTCAACCCAGACCTGCTGAATTGGGATGTTCAGCCCCTATGCAGTGTGGGAATAACCACACAGGAATAGGTTAGACACTGTTCACTTTGATCCCTGCAGTAACACACTCTGCCCTCCTGTTGTTGAATCTGAAATTCAGTCCAAAACTCCTTTGGCAATATCTGGCTTATTACCAGGAGAACTTGATCTTGGTCCTTTACTGAGCTAAACCACCAGTTACAGCAATTAGAACTGATATTGCTCTGGAAAATTATGGAAAAAACCTTGTTGTATGATTAGTCCATTGATGAGCAGTACATCCCCATAAAGATCCAGTCACCTTCCAAAACAGGAGACCTTGAGGGGGTCATTCTAGACCTAAAACTAACAGGCAGGGAGGAAACCGTGGTCCCTGTGCGTGCCCTGTCTGGGGCGTGTGTGGCCAAGGATGCAGAGTGTGGGTCTACCCAGCTCAAGCGGCTACATGGGCACTGCCACCAGCAACAGTGAGGAACACCATGCTTCCTGCTCCCCTACACGGGCTCACACCACTGACTGGACAGAGGACAAATTCTTTAGGCCCTCACCATTGCAGATGCTGCCAGGTAAGTTCCAGAGGCCCAAGATCACAGCAGAATCGGGATTAATCATGCACCTGACAGGGTCTATCATTTCCACTGTAGGTGGAACCATACATTGAGCTCCCCATGCCCACTGCTGTCCGTACCATACATGCCAGGACTGCCAGAGTCCTGACTCTGTGGCCTACAGAGGTGCTGGGTCTCTGGCCCTATCACCATATGCATTGTCCCCAGAGTCACTCATCACAGTGAAGGGACCTGTGGAGATTGCCTTAACATGCCCTCGTGGAAACAGAGCCAACACTGCATTACAGACCAACACCCTGAGACACAGCTTCAGGGGCCGCTGCTTATTAAGGCCACTCTGCAGAAGTGGTAGAGATAGCCAGTCCACTAGATGTGCAGATCTCAACACAGAAGTAATGGAAATTTGAAAAACCACATGTGTTAGCTTCCATTCCTGTGACAAAACACCTGACATAATTCAGAGTAAAGAAGGCAGTTCTTATCTTGGCTTGTGGTTTCAGAGGTTTCAGTCCATGCTTAGTTGCCTCCATTTCCTGGAGGCCTAGGGCAAGGCCGAAACAGCGCAGTGCAGGGCTTGATGAAGGAAAGCTGCTCACCTCATGACAAGCAGGAAGAAAGAGAGGGGAAGAGGAGTGGAAGGGCCCAGAGAACAGACATCGTCCCCAGGTCGCAGCCCCACCGTCTGCTCCCTGCACCTCCTGTTTCCGTCACCTGCCAGAAACCATTAAATTCCACAGTTAATGTGACTGTCTAGCAACAGAGCCTAAAGAGGGTGATATGGATGCAATGTCTGGTAAAGCATTTAAAAATTATTATGAAAAGGCTCATGGAGATTGTGAAGAGAATACATATAAATAATTAAACGCAATTAGGAAGATAATGCAGGATATGAATGAGAAATTTGGCAAAGAGGTATTTTGAAAAAGAACCAAAAAGAAATCTTGAAAATGAGCTTAAAAAATCAAATGTTACAGTTGAAAGCTTCAACAACGAACAAGTCAAGCAGAAGAAAACATCTGACCTTGAATAACAAGGCTTAAAATATCCCAGTCATAAAATTTTCTTTTAAATCAAAGAACCACCAGATGCTACTACAAAGCAGATGGACCTAACAGCTATATACAGAACATTTCATCCAGCAGGGCAAAATAGTCTCTAGCACACTTGAGTGTTTTTCTAGAATATGCCATATACCATGGTATCTCAGTTCACAGACTTACTCCTTCCATGATTCTGGCCACGTTCTTGTTCATGCAGAAAAGATGGCCATGGTTGTGTTTGTTACTTAATGCCAAGTTTGCAAACAAAACAAAACTTTGCCAAATGCTTCTGTTCACGGAACAAATTGTTCACAAAAGCGTTTGTGAACCGAGTTACCATTGTATTAGGTCAGTAAACCAGTCTTAACAAATTTAAACATTTAAACATTTAAAGAATTTGAAATCCTGTATTTCTTAACAAATCTAAAAAATTTGAAATCCTTATTTCTCCTGATCATGAATGAAACAGGACAGTACCAACAAAAGAATTTTTAAAATTATATAAATACATGGAGACTGAATAACACACTTTTGAACAAACAGTGGGTCATTGAGTAAGTCAGAGGAAAATTTAAAATGTGAAACAAATGAAAATGGAAATGTAATAGCCCAAAACTTACAGGCTATAGAAAAAGCAGGACTAAGAGGAAGGTTTAAATTTTTTGTTTGTTTTTGCTTTTTGAGACAGGGTCTTACTATGTAGTTTAGGCTGTCCTTGAACTCACTTTGTAGCCCAGGCTGGCCTGGAACTTGCAGTGACCCCCCTGCCTCAGCCTCCCCAGTGCTGGATTACAGGTGTGCACCATCACGCCCAGCTAAGAGGAAGGTTTAAAACAGTAAATGCCAATATCAATAAAATAGTTTTCAAATAAACTAATGATTTATTTCAAGGACATAGAAAAGTAAAAACAAACCAAACAAAATTAGCGGATTAGGACACAAGAGCAGAAACAAATGAAGTAGGGAGCAAACAAAACAAGACCAAAACAAATAGTGAAAAGATCAATGAAACAAAGAGTTGGTTCTTTGAAAAGAAAAAAAATCTACCAATCCTTCGTGAAACTAACCAAAATTTCAAAGAATACCCAAGTATGTGAAAAGTGAGAAAAGGTGACCTTACAACCAATAACAGAAATATAAAAGATAATTAGGGACTATTATGAAGGAAATATAGGCTAACAAACTGGAGAACCTAGAAAAGACAGCTTTCTAGACACAAATGACCACCAACATTAAGCTATGAAGACATACATTTCCCGGACAGACCAATATTAAATATGAGATTGAAGATGGCTGTACTGCTGAGCTCCACCGAGCCTTAGCAAACTTTTAAATCATCAAAAGGTCATGCCCGTGATCGAGCTGATTTCATCCTAGGGATGCAAAGAGGGTTTGGCACATGCAGTTCAAGAAACAATACAGGGAGAATAGAAAAAGTGGTAAGAAAGCAGGTAGCACATCACAGCCTCTCTAGGACTTGAAATCCAGACACCGGGAAATCAGCAACGTAATGAAGAGAAAAAGAAGAGCTCTGGAAATCAAGAAAGCTGACAGGAAAACTGGAGCTCACAGAAACCGGGTAAGATGAGGACAACGCAGAGAACAGAACAAAGCAGTTTGGAATGCTCACCCAGCTCCCAGGGGAACGTGTCTCTGCTGACAAGGGTGAGCAGAGTCAGCAGCCTCAGGGTGAAACAGCAGACTGGCAGCTCTGGCTCAAGAAAAGCCCACAGTTACTGTAATCTGCAAATGCAGCATGAGGTGCTACTTTGAAAGTAACTCCTTCCACATGGCAAGCTAGCGTTTGAGAAGAAATTCACTGTAGTGCCTGCCACATTAGGAACGACATCATCAGGAGTCATTTTGCCAAAGGCTTGGTTAAGACTGAACTACTCCAGGAACCAGAATTCACAACAGCCACACTTAATGGTTTCTGGGGGTCACCCTTCCACAGGCACTAGGCGGGAGACAGCCATAAGAGACAGCCTCAGAGACGGGGCACGGACCCGCCCGGAGAAGCTGATGCAGTGGGAGCTCAGGCGGGGAAGAGCACAGTGGTCTGGCCCTCTGTGGCGTCAGGCCCCTTGGGTGTGGTTTTCTGAGGGGGCTGGCTCTGAGAGTGCTGGTCTTAACTTCAGTGAGCTGCTTGCTCCCAACTCCCTTGCTGCCTGGGTCCAGCGCAGGACCTGGGGGTTGTCTGCTTTCCCCATCTGCCAACGTGATCAGAAACTTGCCTGAGCTTGGATGTGAGCCAGAGGGGCCTTTGGAGCAAGGTGGGACCTCACAAGCCTGCAGGCCAAAAACTAGGAGAAGGTAGCAGTGGCTGAGGGC